CCACTTCTTGACAGGAATAAACCCAAATAACAGAATTCTTTAACATTTTCAATAGCTACACCGTTATATAAAAATTTACGCTTTGTCATTGGACCTTTAGAAAAAATAAGGACTTTTGTTTTGGCTATGTTAACACGGAGTTTCCATACATCACAGTATTCAGCAAAAACATCAAGTGACTTTTGTAAATCAGAAGCAGATTCAGACATTAAGACCGTATCATCGGCATAAAAAAACATAATGACACGCCCAATTTTCTTTAGAAACGAGAAAGAAGTATTCGTCGTAATGTTTTAGGACACCCCAAGCAACATGAGTTACACTGAAATGAAGATTTTTTTAATAAGAAAGAGCTATATATAGAGTTCCCGCTTATGTAAAACAGGCATTGCAGCGAATTTTACATAATTATGATTTTATCATGGTTATTGGAGTTATTGGAGTTATTGGAGTTAGCATAGCACATGTATCAGTCGAACACGTGCTTACTCGGTGTTTATGTTGGCCACCAATTTCACTGGCTATTATATTTATGGAATACCTGTTCAACAGGTATTCGATTGAATCATTCGACCGATTTTTCCTTTCTAAAGAAATGGGCGTGTCTAAAGATAGCTCAAAACGTTCCATCCAAACGGAAAATTTTACCACTTCAATGCGCTTTATTGTATTTCAAAGGGAATGAGATAAATAAGACACAATTTACTACAAATAAGCACATATTAAAAACAGATAAAGAATTTCACAGATAAACGTCCGAATTAAGTATAAAATATATTAAAAAGTTATTTTAATTCAAAAATGTTAATTTTGCTCGGTGATAAAGATTTAACTGAAGGTCTACAATGAGGCGCATTGAAGCGGTAAAAATTTTCTGTTTGACTGGAACGTTTTGAGCTATCTTTAGAACGATGATTGTCATACAATGACACGCCCATTTCTTTAGAAAGGAAAAATCGGTCAAATGATTAATTCGAATACCTGTAAAACAGGTATTCCATAAATATAGCAGCCAATCAAATTGACGGTTTGCATAAACACCGAACAAGCACGTGTTCGACAGATACATGTGTTATGGTAACTCCAATAAACACGATAAATTCATAATTATGAACAAATTCGTTGCAATACGTGTTTTACAGAAGCGGGAACTCTCTAACTCTCTCTCTTTAACTTTAAAAATCTCTATTTTGGTGTAAATCATGTTGCTTGTCACGAATAGTGGGGTATTATAAACATTACGACGAATATTTCTTTTTCGTTTCTAAAGAAATGGGCGTGTCATTATGTTATAATTGACGTTCAAAGCATGACTCAGAACGTTTCATCCAAACGGAAAATTTTACCACTTCAATGCGCTTTATTGTACCAAAAAAAGTATAAATGTTAGAGACTGTGCAGTTGACAAGAGTGACATAAAACTTGTAAACAAAATTAAGGCTTGGCTAGTTTCTATCGATATATTCTCTATGTACACCTGTACACACTCGGGTTAAATCGATCGCCAAAACATGTATGAAATACTTTTTTACGTTGTGAATAAAATAATTATTTGACTTGCTTATTTTGTTCTTTATACATGAAAAGTAAGTAGAGCAAGTCATTTTATATTTATATTTATGTAACGGTAGATATTATTGCGCCGTGTGATTCGGCCATGTATTGACCTCTGACCTCCGACAAACTTCATACAGAATTGAAGATATTTTCTCTCTGTATGTTTATATAATAGAAAGATACCACAAATGTATATATTTCTTAATGAAATGAAAGATCTTAAAAGAACTATATGCGGTATACTGCGTATCTTTGTCCCCACAAAAATCAAATTTTGAAAAATTCTTGAAACGTGGTAGAATTAAAAATACTGTAGAAGTACTTTTTTCCGCGTGGTATTAATTTACACTATGTACGCGGTCACAAATTTTCCGCGGAAATTTGTCCAAGCGTACTTAATGTAAATACAAGGCATAAAATGACTGTCTGAGAAATCCGCGTAATTTTCAACCCGCGGATTAAATGGAAATTGAGATTCCGCGAAATTATGACCCCGTGGAAAAAAGTACGACTACAGTAACTGTTTAAAAGCCATCATCTTGCGCGGGGATAAACAATTTTTTCATTCTTCTAAATACTTATCAAATAACTCTTAAAAGACCATCAGTTTGTGTAGGTAAATTATTTCAAACGAGCATTCAGAATCATTATCATTAATACTGGAATTTTCAACAGAGTGTCGGAAGACCCGGTTTCCGAAAACTACATACATGTAGATATTGTCAATTAATTACTATTCTACCACGATTTATTGCAAAGATCAAAGGAAAGCCGCGGACATTATTCTCCAATAAATCACGAACGACATCAAAAAATTATCAGATCAGAAACACGTATCAAACCTGAACAATTCAAATGAATGTTTGGCTGTAGCATGAAATACTTGTTTGCACCACATCGATGTGTCCTTTTTTGCAGTATAAACACTGTAAATTGCATCAAGTTGCTGATGAATGTCGGTTATTATAGCTATAAGCGGGGGGTATTCCACGGACCTCCCTATACATTTAAACACAAGATTTTAGTCCCAATAGAGCAGTAAAGCCAGGAACATGGTTTTGTTATTGTACATTCATTAAAACTAATCAATACATATTACGAACAAATTTGTAATTTAAAAAAGCTATGCAACGAAAGCTCAAATCGTCTGCATTCCATACACAGGTAAGCAAACAAATTTTACCTCTGGTGTTAAATGGAACAGCGTAATCGAGACATTATGACCTAATTCGTTTCTCTATAGAGGAAACGATCAGCCGAATTTAAGCGATTTTAGTAGACATGGTAGAATAGAAATAAAGTCCTTGTTGTCGTGAATGATGCAGGATATCCTCCTCGGTCTCGAAATGTTGTTTGAAATATAAAACCCTCGGCTAACGCCTCGGCTTTTATCTATCAAACAACATTTCTCGACCTCGGAAGTTATCCTGCAACATTCACGAAAACGCGGACTTTATTTCTTAAGTAATAAAGCATCTATCTTAAGACAAAACATCTATACTCGTAGAGATACCCTTTTCACCTTCATTGATTAATATTTTAGTAAGGAGTAAAGAATTAAGAGGTAGAACAATCACCTAGAAAAATGCTAGGAATCTTAATTTGGAAGGTTTTATGTACATGTAGTTTGGAAATCCAGAAAAGGTATGGTAGTTCGAAATGCAAAGTGGATGTAGGAAATATTTAATATTTTACTAAACTAAAACTATTGTCTTAAAAATTGGTCACAAAAGCTGTGAGATAAATAAAGGCGAACTCAGACAGGATATATCTTCTTTTAACCAAGATTGTGAACGTTATTGCCCAAACATTTTTTTCGAGATGGTCTCAAAACTAGTAATCTAGCTCCATGAAAGACATTGCGAAGAGGTAACTTTTTATCCATGGTTGTCTGTATATTTAAATGAAAAAGAGCGACTGAAATTGTTGAAAATTTTTTTAAGTCGAAAAGGAAGAATTTCAAATTTTATTTTAAATAATACGGCATGTACAGCACGGTGTAAGCTGGGAACTTTAATTTTACTTCCTTATTATAAGTTACAAATGTAGTCAGCAGGACAAATATATCTTTAAATTTTTAAAAAGTTATTTGTTATTCAGCAAAAATAAGCACTGGTTATTTTCTTTCGTTTTTTAAATTTTAATAAAATAGACGCAGTCTTTCTCCCGATTTTCATTGTTAACGGATATATAATATGTACTTTAAAATTTAACAATTATATGTCTGCATGCATGTTCATGAGGGTCTAAGACATAATAGAAACATCTTAGAGGGCTGTCAAAAGACGTGTTCCCTGAATAAACATACGTAACTATCCTAACTTGGGAGACTTTCTTCTATTTTGTCCTAACTTTTTGACCTAAGACGGTCCGTGTAACACTTAACAATTAAAAATTCTCATTTGATATTAAAGTTTATGAATTCACAACAGCAGTTAATGTATCTAAATTTCAAATATATACCCAAACTAAATTTGTACATTGATTGGAAATTAATAATTTGGTTTAAAAACCTAAAGTTTCAAAATTCCAACCAGGATTTTTTAAATTTCTGTTTTAGATTTTAAGCATGAATATTCAAAATTCATCTCCAAAAACGTTTTTGATATTTTAGCTTTTGGAGTTGCCTGACAGTCTACAGTGCAGTTTCAATTTTCGTATTTGATATTTTAAATTTACTTAAAACTTTATTCTTACTTTGATAACGTTCTAGATTTTTAGAAACTCAGAACTTTGATTCAAACACTCAAATTCTAAATATCCAAAGATAATATTTACATTTGAGGATTTTAGCATTTTTCTTCAAATATCCGTAATACGTTTATCAAATCCCAAACCTGGTTTGAATTTTGAAACTATATCCAAAACGCTTCATGTCAAGCAAAGAGCTACCGGTATTAGATATTCAAAATATTGAATTTATTCAGTCATAGGTTCAAAATTCAAATCGGATTTAGAAATTAATATTTTGGATATTTAAAGTAAAATTTTAAAACATTCAGATTTTAAATTAAAAAAAAAATCTAAAACGTTTGAAAGGTAAAGGTTTAGAAGGTAATTTTTAAACTATTTAAACATGTTAAACATGTTAACTTCAAAACACGTAACGCTAGCCTGGTCAAGTTTGGAGAAACATAATTGATACAGGGAGAGCCTGATCAGTCTATCAGATGAAGTCTATATAATAAGAAACTGGTCAATAAGAATCAGTATTGGTTCCTAAATCAACTGTACAACGATGTGAGACTCTCAGTATGTGAGAATGTCGTAACTCACTACATAGATTTTTCGTGAACATATCGTAAAACTAATGAAAATGATCGCCAAAAAGGTCTATTTAAAAAGTTGAAATGTTTAAACTAATAATTTTTTTCATTACAGTACTATTACCTTTCTTGTCTATAAGTATGAAATAATATTAAAAGAATGTGACTGATACTCACTTTCCCTCCTGCAGAGGAGAACAGTTTATCAGCAAAGGAGAAATCAAAAGTATCGCCGACAAAAACAACCACTTTTTTGGCTCCCAGGACATTTTCTATCAGAAATCTTTTACAATTCGCTGACTCTTTTAACTGTATTTTCTTCTCGCCAAAATATCCTGTTTCTGCAAGGAAAAGCCATCCTTTAATAAGGAAGTAATTTTATTAATCCCCAGAGCCCCCGTTTGGTTTAAATATCCTGCCTTTATGTGCACACATTTCAATTATTGCTTCTGACTTGTTTGACATTGTTGTCTTCCAAATTTTGCTTTGTGTACGTACAGATAAAATCACTTAATTTCGTTTTTTCCATAAGTCTCCAAAACAAGAAGGTTAAATTCTTTGTTACTGGACGCCCTTGACAATGTGTAAAATTTTGTAAGAAATGTCGCATTCGACATCATTCTCATGTAAACGATCATCCATAAATCCAAATAAACAGGAAATCTTGAATGAATATTGACCCACTTCTTCATTAATATTGACATTAATAAAATTAAATTATTTACTAACTGAATGTTGAAAAAAATATATGTAAAGTAAACATTTGCGAATGTTAAAAAAAAATAATAGAATTTTTGAAGAAGTTCCTCACCCTTTATTTTAATGCATGCTTTAAAGTTTCTTTTTCGTGATTTCGAATAAGGTACAACTTCCGTTCTATATTTCTATCGTTTTGCCTGATACGTAAGTCATATGAATATTTAGAAACATGTACAGCCTACTCCGGATATATTGAAATTCAGGGGATCATGCAAATTATTTCAATATATCCGTAATATTCAATATAAGCGAAATCGTGAAGCCGCCATTTTTTTTTCATTAAACGTTCAATCCCGATCTTAAAATAAGGAACAAACCCGAACAAATTAATTTTGTCATCGTTTACCTATAATAGTGTACAGATTACATGAAATATTAAGTCCTTGAAAGTTAAAAAAAATTGTTTCTTTCTTTTTTATCAATAAAACAATCTTCAACTTCATTCTTATTCCCCGATCGCATTTATTTACATTTTGGGGAAAAATCACCGATGTCAAACTGTTGAGTACTGCTGAACGCTGCATGTATTTCATCGTAAGTGTACTCGGGTTGATTTCTTAGCTATTTCGAATTAAGGTTTATCATTAGCCATTAACAGTACGTATTTAATTTGAAAGTTAAGTTTTTTCTATATCTGTGGGGGTTACTATGTTGCCTTTAGCCTAAATACTTCCGTATTATATACATGGAAACGAAGAATTTAGCAGTGAATAATTTTATTTCGTAAGAGCATGGAGTATAAAAACACATAAGGTGAAAACTTAATTATTCACACCTTTTTATATCAACCGGTCAGTCAGGCATAATTTCGGTTTGTTCCCATCTCGCCTTAACTGTAAAATTTAACATTCCCATTTCGCCTTAGTAAGCTCTCAGGTGAATTAAGGTGATGAAGATTTAATATATTTAGCATGAAGTAATTTTTAGAATTACATGTATTACTTCATTCACAATATTCATAAATTCATATTCATTGTTAAATTCAATCTTAAAAAAATAACATTTCAATTTTTATATCAACCTAGTACTAATATTTACAAATACTAAAATTCCCATTTCGCCTTAGTACTTTTTAACTTTTTCTTACCTGAATTTCACAGTTAAGGCGAAATGGGAACACACCATAATTTCTGTCACCAACCGTAACGAAAGCTGCCAGGGAGTACTTCAATATAACCGTTATGAAAACAACTAATTATCACCTGTGGGGACCGATCAGTGGCTTCAATATAAGCGAAATTTCAATATAGCCGATTTCAATATAACCGTTATTTTAATGCAAAGAATATGAGAGTCAAAAACTGGGGATTTATTTTTATTTCAAAATAAGCGGAATTTCAAAATAAGCGAGTTCAATATAAGCGGAGTAAGCTGTACATGTTTAATATGAAAGCTACATGGCCAATTTTAAGTCTTTGTTTTTTAAAAGTAGGTCAAACTTCAATGTCAAGGTCACAGGGTCAAAAAAGCATAGTGTATTTAGAAAGGTCTTGTCACAAAAAATACACAGGTCTAAAGTGAAATGTCTTCTCATTCAAAAGTAATGAGCAAGTTTGAAATAAAAAAAAAATCAAACTTCAAGGTCAAGGTCACGAGGTTAAAAATCATAGTGAATTTAGAAAGGTCTTATCACAGATAACACGTATATTTTTAAATATGAAATTCCTCTCTTTCCTAATTTAAATCTAATGCAATTGTTTTTAAAACATGTTTTGACTGGCTAATGCACTGATGTTTGAAGCAGTAAAACAAGCATTCTAATGCAATTGTTTTGTAAAACACGTTTTGATTGGCTATTCTAATGCAATAGTTTTGTAAAACACTTTTTGATTGGCTAGTGCACTGATATTTGAAGCAGTAAAACGAGCATTAACGAGCGTGAAAGCTTCTTCATTGTGACGTCATAATAGAGCGACGCAAAAACACAATGCTCCGTGACGTATTTCATGTTACAAATTTCATCAAAATAAGACGTAAATAACTAACAAAATGCATGGATTGCATTAGAATGGGAATAACTGTTCTTCTAATTTGGTATTTGCGACCGTTATTGCTGATTTAACGGTCGCAAACATCCGTTTTACCGGCTCCGCTTACGCGTCGCCGGTAAAACTCAGTTTGCGACCGTTAAATCAGCATTAACGGTCGCAAATACCAAATTAGAAGATAGTTATTCCCTAAATGCACTGATGTTTGAAGCAGTAAAACGAGCATTAACGAGCGTGAAAGCTTTTTCATTGTGACGTCATAATAGAGCGACGCAAAAACACAATGCTCCGTGACGTATTTCATGTAACAAAATTCAACAAAATAAGACGTAAACAACAAACAAAATGCATGGATTGCATTAGAATGGGAATAATTAATCTTCTAATTTGGTATTTGCGACCGTTAATGCTGAATCAGCAATATTTACATTCTGTATATTTTTCCTTATGAAATTCATTAGAAATCCACGACATTCAAATTTCTATAACACACGCGAAACCTTGTCACCGCGCGTTAGAATACACAGTAGGAACTATATGCATTTTCTATAATCTGGGAACACCAAAATGTACAATGTTTTGACTCAATTTAATTAAAAACTATAATCCTGTTAAATTAACGTAAAAATACTACAAATGTTCGTTTAAAATTAATTTGTTACTTTTTTTCCTCGCAATGTTTGTTTGCGTTATTTAACTTTGCAACGTCATCTGACGTCACAAACGGCTCTTACGTCTATTAACCGCGCCAGTTTTGAAGGGCGTTAAATTCACATTAAAGATAAACGAAATAAGCAATTACGAAGAAGGAAAATTAGAGAATGTAAATATAAGCATTGAATTCATATTTTTGGCTGTCTTCGGTCCTATAAAACACCTGGCCGTGCCGACAAATTTATCATACCGCGCTAACGCGCGGTATTCAATTTGTCGACACGGCCAGGTGTGTTATAGGACCGAAGACAGCCAAAAATATGAATTCAATGCTTAATTAACGGTCGCAAGATAGTTATTCCCTAAATTAACGAGCGTGAAAGCTTTTTTATTGTGACGTCATAATAGAGCGACGCAAAAACACAATGCTCCGTGACGTATTTCATGTAACAAAATTCAACAAAATAAGACGTAAACAACAAACAAAATGCATGGATTGCATTAGAATGGGAATAACTAACGGTCGCAAACATCCGTTTTACTGGCTCCGCTTACGCGTCGCCGGTAAAACTCAGTTTGCGACCGTTAAATCAGCATTGACGGTCGCAAATACCAAATTAGAAGATAGTTATTCCCTAAATCTTTATCTTTTTTAAAGTAGGTCAAACTTCAAGGTCAAGAGGTCAAAAATCATAGTGTATTTAGAAAGTTCTTGTCACAGTTAATATACATGTGTAATATAAAAAAAAACCTTTCTTCTCATTCAAAAGATATGAACAAGTTTAAAGTTTCTGTGTCACTGACATCCGTATATTTTATGTCCCTTTGCTTTTGCGAAAGCGGGGGGCAATTATTAATTAGATTGTATTACCACGGTACCTAGGAGTGATAAATATTATAACAGGATGTGCTTTAGAGATCCAGTGAGTCGTGACAATTTCTTATGTGTATTTAATACAGGAATAACAGATGCAATGCAGTAAAATTAGATATTTTTAAAAAACATTACAATGGTTATAGGTAGTCATGGGTAAACTATTTACCTCGTCTATACAATGTACAAATACATGTTCAAACCCGTAACTCCCTTCCCTTTATTTGATTGTAAGAAACCTATACCGAAGATAAACAAGAGGCCCAGGGGCCACAGCGCTCACCTGAGCACATCAGCTAGGAAAAAGCACAAATCAGATCAGAACTGAGTTTACTGAAGGGGGGGGGGGAGGCTTGAATTATAACCCCCAGAGGGTCATGATTTGAACAAACTAGAATCTACACTACCTGAGGATGATTCCATATAAATATCACTAATCATGGCTTTGAAGTACTTGAAAAAGATTTTAAAAGGTTTCCCTATATATCCCTATGTAAAACTTTGGTCGGCCATTTTGGCCCCACTCTAGCCCCGAGGGTCATGATTTGAACAAATTTGAATCTACACTACCTGAGGATGATTTCACATGAGTTTCATCTTTCCTGGCCCAGTGGTTCTTGGGAAGAAGATTTTTAAAGATTTTTCCTGCATTTAAAACATCGCTTTATGAGGTTTAGGGGGTTGTGGTCATTTTTAGAAGAAGAGCTCCATATGAATTTATACAAAAATGATCAAAAATGATTTTTTTTTTCTTTGCCAAATGATACTAGTAGTTGACAGCTGAACACACACACACACACACACACACACACCCTCACACACACACACACACACACACACCCTCACACACACACACATATATATAACTAAGTTATATCTGAAAGTCAATTTATTGACCCTCCCCCATGCAGCATCCTTAAATTGGCAAGGGGACATTATCTCTGCAATTAAATGATTTCTAGTAACTTGATTAAGTTTATACATTCTATAATTTAAAAAAAAACAATTCTGCATTAGCAGCTGCATAAGATAATACATTGGACCCGGGACCCTTCAATGTCCTATTGAAAAGATATATGCTGGTGCTAATAAATGGATTTTG